GGTAAGAGCAGTAAAGAGGTTTGAAACCCACTGCAGCAGAGACCATAGGAGCTGGTGTTGTGCAATAACTTTGCCTTCAGTCTCCTGGGATCTGTTCCGTGTGTGGGTGCAGTTTGCCCCAGAGAGAAGGCCAGCCTCAGCCTTAGCCCAGCTCTGCACTTTCCAGTGTTAGGCCTTTGCGGAAGGTAACCACACAACAAAGGTGAATCCTCTGCGTTTGTAATGCCAGCTGCAAATTCACTGTAGACCCTCCTAGTCCTGAGCAGTTGGTTGTGAGGCCATGTCGCGAGGAGAGGAGAAGCGATGGCTGGCTGCTCACAGTAGGTTCAAGATTTAATGCATACGGTTGCACCAGCGAGGTGTCCTGCATGAAGTGTGTTTCTCCCCATGGCACTTAGCGGGTGCTGCTCTGGCAAGACATACTTGTCGGTCCCTCATTTCGAAGTGTTACAGCCTGGTGTGGAAAGAAGCTGTGGCAGGACCTGTCCATAGGCTGCTCAGATGAGGATGTTTAGCGATAAGCGAAGGCATTTCAGCAGGGGATTGATGCTCCTGTTACCCTGTGTGTAAAAGCTAAATCGAACACAGCAAGCGGTTGTGGGTCTGTAATCTCAGACCTGTATGTCTACCGTAGTGGGTTATGCTGCTTTCAGTTTTCAGGGCTCATTGTCCAGTGTTGGTGTTGTAATTCAGGTTGTAATTGAAAAGGAGCAGGTTTGGTCTTACCATTTCTGTTTTGGTCAGATCATGACCCTCTCCTCTGGTGGCAGAGCCCTCTACTTGAAGGCATGCCTGGGATGCCAGGTCTGTTGTGATATCCCCGGGTAATGGGAAAAGCAGCACACAGCTCAGAGCAAACCCGAAGGCAGGCTGCACGCACTGGTGTTGCAGGAGGATGGAAAGTGCGTTTTCTGGCTGGGGGTGGTTTAAGAGGAAGAAATGTCCCTGGCTGCCGTACCTTATGCAGGCAGGTGTGTGTGAGGCTGGTGGCAACCTGCCTATTTGTGCCTGCTCGGCCTTACCTTGGGAATTTGATTTGTTGGATCAGTTGGGTACTTTCCCTCTCGTGCCTGCAAGAGAGGGCTGTGTGTAACAGTGCGTGCGGTTGCCTCTGGAGATTGTAACGAGAACGGCTGCGTTGCGATGAGAGCTAAGCTGGCTGGAGAAATGGCACTATCAGTCTGAAATTAGATCCTGACACGGCACGGATTGACTTGGAGAGCTCCTGTGCTCACCGTCCTTGTGGCTGTTTCCACCCGCCACCCCTCAAGTGAAGCTCTTCCAGAGGCGGTCGTGCCCTTGCAGAGAAGTCACACTGCAGAGGGGCCTGCTAACCACCCTGGGTGTGTGTTACTGCCTTGTTCTGCTGCAGGACCTCAGCACGTGGGCTTTCATCTGAGACTGGCTGAGGGTTTTGGCTTTGAGCTGACTCACGGGTATTTTGGCTGTCGTTCCTGCGTGGTGTCCGTGCTGCCTTCTCCATCTGCGTGGGAGGTGGCTGGCAGGGAGCACTGTGCAAGTGCTCCTTGCAAGAGCTGGGGAAGAGCAGCACCTCCCATCACCCATAACCAGGGGGGATAGGCCAGGTTGCTCTGGACCTTGTCTGACACAATTGCATTTTGGAAAAGTGACAGCCAGGCAAGTGAAGAATAAGAGGAGGTTTTGAAGTAGTTTTTTCCTGTACATTAAGCCTGACACTGGCATTGCCTGCTGCAGCCCTGCTGTGGCCATTTGTAGCAAGCTGGTCTGAGGGCTGCATGGACCTATAAGCCAAGGCTGTAGCTGGTGGCACATCCATCCTCTGGGACGGAGACAGCAACTTCCTGCAGCTTTTGCAACGTTATTTTATGGGACACTTGGAATCAGGAGGGAAATGAGTGGGGAAACCAAGCCTGTTCAGCCTCGGGTTTCCTTCCCTCCTGTCATTCTTGAGTCTGGGGTGGAGTTTCCTTTCTGATTAACAAGCAAATCAGCAAGATACAGGATCACACTGTCAGACGCTGTCTGTAGCTGGCTGGATAGCAAGCTGGTCCATGGGCAGGCAGGGGCAGGCCCATCTGCAGGCAGGGAAGCTGTCCTGGACCCATGAAGGCAGAGAGCCCTCAGCGGGGCTGTCTCTGGCTGAAGTGGAGAGCCTTGACCTTAAGAGGTGTTGCTTTTCGTCAGCACATTCTCTGCAGCTCTGCCTTGACTCGCCAAACTGTCCTGAACTGCTTTATCTGATGGTATTGGGTGATGGTTTCTGTCATGTCACTTTGGCCCCCAACTTCAGCTTCAGCCTCGGAAGACTGGAGGATGAAAGTGCTGAACAGCAATTCAGACACGTCACGATGGCTGCTGCTTTAATGGGTTTGCTTGCAGCGTGAGAGAGTGCCAGGCAGAGCCTCCGACCTGAACACAGCGTCCAGCACCTTGGTGCCCTCCTGGGGTTTTTGGGAGCCGTCGCTGAGCAGCACGCCTCGATCAAGCCACATCAGCTCAGCGGGGTCTCCAAAGGAAATGCCGCTGCTGCAACTGCCCTTGATTGTGGAAGAACAGATGCATGGTCAAAATACTTTCTGGATGGCATCTTGGCTGGGTTCACTCCGCATGGCTCCACCAGCCCGCGTCGCCTGGGAACTGTCACGATCTTGCCGTGACAATGCACTTCTAGGTTCAGTTACCGCTCAGGCGCTTGCTGATTCCTTACCCTCACAGCCAAGCAGAGCTGTTCTCCTGCCCGAAGCCCCCGGAGAAGGGGCAGAGCCCAGCATATGCAGAGGCTTGCTGCGTACAAGATGTCCTGTACCTGTGTTGTGTAACACGCATGTGTGGGGCAGGCTAGGATACCGCCGACTGAGGATTGCTTACGTTTTGACCACTTTCAGACTTAATTGAAACCACCGGAGCAGCCTTCCCCTGCAGCCTGCTCTGCAGATGTCATTAGGGAGAATGGCTCTCGATCGCCACGCAGCCGTGGCCACTGTGCTTCCTCATGGTGGCATTGCTGGAGAATGCACCAATTTATTTTTACTCTTTGGCTGCGCCTCCTCTGCGTGTTTCACAACTGCAGATTTCTTTCCTTTCTCGTGTCCCTGCTCCGGAGTTGTGCAGACTGTTGCCCTGGGGAGACGCAGGCGAGACATCGACTGGTACGCTGGGTATCACCCCCTCCCTTCTCCCCCCATCTTTAACATTGTTTGGGGCAGAAATTGGCTTATCTCTATTCTGCAGCTATAGAGAAATCCATTCCCTGGTGCTTGTAGGGCTTCCTGTGGCAGGAATTGCTCCAACTCCTTAGCCTGATTAGCTCTCTTTGCTGCCTGCGTGTGTGTTAGAGAGAGAGAGAGACCACCTCTAATTTAATTTAATAGGATCCTGAAGAGAACAAACTCCTTTGAGCTGCCTCCGTAATGGCACTGCCATAGTTACCCGTAGCGTTGCTCACGCAGTGTCTGGAATCGTTTCATTCAGCTACAGCGTCTACTTTTTTTTTAAAAAAAAAAAGAATATATATAAAAGCAGCTGTGATATAAACAGTTTCCAAGGTAACAAGGCTGGGGGAGGGTTTTGTGTCCCGTCCCCCTGCTCCACGCGGATGGGAGAGGGACGTGTGCTGCGGAGGATCCTGGGAGGTTTGATTCTCCACTCCTAATTCCTTTCTGCCACTGCTGCCAGATGTTGCAGTTTCTCAGGACTGTGCGGATCTACTCGGTAACTTCCAAAGCCCTGCCACGAGGATCTGAGCGGACAGGACCACTCCTGCTATGACCCATGCCGGGACCTTTTGTGCTGGCTCTCTTCTCCTTAACAAAAGGCTGACGCTTGGCTTTAATGCCCAGGAGGAGCAGAATGGAAAGGCCTGTGTGCGTGTTGCTCCAGAGCTAAGTTAGCTCCGACCCCCCACACCTCCCCTTGCAGACAGACACGGCTGCCCTGCGACTCTTTGTCTGCCTCTTCCCTGCCCCGACCATGGGCTGCGTGTACTCGGCCCCACGAGAAGAGGCGGCCGTGACGAGGTGAGTTAATCTGCCCGATGGGCAGACAGGATCGCTCTGACTCAGAGGGTCGTTCCTGCCACCCCAAAGCTGGGCGGAGTGGGGTGCCTCTCCCTGCTGGGGCAGGAGGAGAAGGAAGGGGAGAGGCTCTGCTCGGAGGCAGGCTGCTCCAGAGGAGACCCTGCTGTCGGTGCTCAATTCTCTGCAATGTCCAGGTGGTGTTCTCACTTCTGGATGTACGTGGGCTTTTGGGAGGAAAGCCACAGGCATGGGAGCTTTCTGAAGGAGAGGTGTTCTGCTGAGACGGAGACTTTGGTATTGTTGCTGAGCTGTTGGGAACTTTCTCCCCCCTCCTTTTTTTTTCTCCTGAAATCAGTGACAGAGAGCCCTGGGAGTCGCTTGTGCTGAGGGCTCTCGCCAAGGTGGGCAATCTGTACAAGCTAAAGACTCGCTCCGACAATGGAGTTAATCCCCTTTCCTCCACCTGTCACTTCTTCTAACTCTCATAGAGTCGCTGCCCTGAGCTATCTAAGCTGTAAGAGCAGTTGTTGCTGAAAACATGCTTTCTCTTTTAAGTTTTCCTGGCTGAGCGGTAAAAATGAGTGTCATTTGTGTCTTCAGTGTCTGTGTGTTTTTGCAGCTCAGATTTTCAAGCCACCCTGATGAAGCAATTTCAGAGAGTTGTGTAGCTTTTTTTTCAAAAGCCAGACTCATTATTTCTTCTGTGTCTGAGCCACAGACTGTTCTCCACCACAATATTTCAGTGCAGGGTTGCCTCTTTTGAAAACGGACAAGCTCTGTGTGCTGCACCCTTTTCTCTTCGAAAGGGAGTTTGCTGAAAGGATCTAAAACTTTTTTTTTCCCCTCCTTTAAAAGCGTTTTGTTTAGCAGTTGACCCAACAGCTATTTCAATTGGGTCTCATTTGCAGAGGGCAGTAAACCAAAGAGGTTCACCAGGGAGCCAAAAGCTAAGAGAGAGCTGAGTCCTGTGAGCTGGCTGGGGGGCAGCTCTCCTGAGCCCCCATCCCGGCGGTAGCATGGGCAGGGCTGGGGCTGCTCTCTAAGATGCTTGTGATATCCCTGTTCCCAACGAAGCACAAATGACAACATGGGGAGACTGTTAACTGCTGAGAGAGCAAAGTGGGGGGTGCGAAGCAGCTTTCTCCTGGGAGCACAGCCTCCTCGGGTAGCTTTTTTGGGTAGGGTTTGCTCGTCTTCAGTGCGTGCTGTATGGGGCTGTGTCAGTGCTTGGAGCTGTCAGGCCAGGTTATGGAGCTCCTTGATACCTTTGGGTAGAAAGGGGTGCTTGAAGGCATGCTTTGCTGAATGTCCCCCACCCTGCCGCTCTGTGTGTGTGTGTGTGCTCTGCAAATGGCTCAGCACATCCGCACAGATCCCTCCCTCTGGGCTGCAGAGTTTAGGAAACTGTTAGCGAGCTCTGCATATTCTCACATGGGCCGGAGCCAAAACCATTTGTTTTTTGCCTGGAGGCTTCTCTCTTCCCACAGGAGACCCAGCCTTGCATTCTTCCATTGTGAAAGAGAAATGGGAACGGGTCCCACGTTCCTCCTCCCCACTACCGAAGCTCCAGTGGGGAAGACAGCAAGTGAGCTCCTGGCACTGGTCCTCTTGCCTTGAAAAGACCCCAGCACCTAATCTGACTGTAGCTAGAGCCACCTCTGCTTGTGAGGCTCCCAGGGTCCCCAGGGCTGGGTTGCTTTCACCCTGTGATGCTGAAAGTCCATGGGTGTGCTTAGGATAGCAAAGCTCTTTTGGCTCCCTTCCTAATAGGATAGCAATAGTGGTGTGAATCTCTGCTCGATGTTTCTGATGCTGCTGCGGTTTGTCCCTCTTTTGAGACAGAGAAAGCCGCCTCCCTGTGATAATACAAACTCCCTCTGTGCCGGAGATCAGCACTGGGGATGGAAACCCCAGAGTTGGAACGAGCCCTGCGGGGCCTCGGTGGGCAGCGGTCGCCTTGCTGGAGGCTCTGTGGGTCTGATCAGCTGCGTCTGTCTGCTCTGCTGGGCTCTCCAGCTCTGGGACTCCTGTCTGGCATACTGTTTTGAGGTCGGAACAGCTGTGTTTTAGCCCTGTCTGACTTCAAGCTTGGGGAATCTGCCCTGGGGGGAATGGCTCAGGACCCATTCCTTGCCTGTCTGCTGTGGTGGGGGAAGCAGGGAGCTCTCCGTTCCCTTCTCTCCCGCCATGGCTTGGCCTCTGTGATTTTTCTGGAGACTTACTCTTGCATCGTAGCTCTACAAGATCTTTGTAACCTGCTCAGCTGTGAAATCTCTCAGAGCAGTTGATAGAGTAAAGATTTCCTGACGCTCGGGGCTGAGTTCCTGGGCTTTGCCTGCGGGAGGATTTACCGATGGAGGTAAGGCAGGCGTCAGCTATTCCCCTGTGCTCTTGAGAGCCCCTGGTCCGTGGCTGCGGGCAGAGGAGAAGCCCTGCAGCTGAGCGATGGGTATCCCTGTGACAGGGTAAATAAGAGTGGTTGATGGGGACACTTTGGGTAGCCTTCTGAGATCTGGTATGGTTTGGGGGCCACTTGCTCCCCACTTGCTTATTCCTGACCTTGAACTTGCCCATCTGAAAGGAGGTTCCTTCTGTCTTTCAGAGCAGCTCCAGTGAGAGACAGCAGCTTCATTGAGAAGATGAAGAAGACAGTAAGCTTTTTGCTCTGGCTATGCGGGGTGCTGGGAAGGTGGGGTAGCTCGTTTCCTTCCCCAGTTTCCTCTGGAGACTCTCTAGCTGTCAGCAGCAGGGACTCGTTTGGATATGGATGCGTATCTGCTGCAAAGAGCATCCAGAGGAAGGCCGTGTGGGCAGGCAGGAATAGCTCTTTCAGTCTATGCCTGAGAGTTGTTCTTAGAGAAAAAATTGAAGTGAAAATTTGGTGGAAAAAAAAAAGTGTAATATGAGATCAAAGTCAGGAGGGAAATGGCAAAGACTTTAAAGTCATTGGCTGGCAGTTGTTTATCTGTGTGGTTGGTTCCCAAACTGGCTCACTCTGGAATGGGAATTGTTGTACACAGAACTGGCAGCTTTTGACTCCACTGGACTGGACGCAAGAGGAAGCAGAGGAAGAAGCAAGGGCTGGATATATTTTCCGTTTTACTTCAAAGTAGCTGGCTTGTGGCAGAGCAGGAGCTCTGGTGCTTAGGCACTTTCCCAAAGCTTAGGCAAGTCTGCTTTCTCATCCAGGGAGTTCCCCGTTTCCAGGAGTCACGCTGCAGCCTTGAGGCTGAGAATAAATCTTGAGGGTTTATTCTTTGCTTTGGGTTTTAGTCTGACCTGAGTCACCCCTCTGAGATTGACAAGAGTCATGTTCCTATTAACAGCTTAACCTTGAGTTTTCTGCCGCAAACCCGGCGTGGAGTCCCATACAAGTGCAGACTCCTGCTTGCCTTTAGATTGCAGTCCCGGGCTCCTGATCCCACATGTTTCTTTTTTCTCTGACAAGATATGCTTTGTCCGTGCATTTGCCAAATAAGTAATCACAGGGATTTCTTTTTCTCTCCAGGGGCGAAACATAGTGGTTTTCTATGGCTCCCAGACAGGTACAGCAGAGGAGTTTGCCAATCGTCTCTCCAAAGATGCTCATCGCTACGGCCTTCGGGGCATGGCAGCAGATCCAGAGGAGTATGACTTGGTAATTTAGCCATGAACAGCCTCAGAATAGGTAACATCCTTTTAGTGTCCCCTAAAAAAAACCCAGAAAGAGCCTGGCCAAGGGACAGTTGCCCTTTTAGTAGTGTTATTTAGGGGAGAAAAAATCAGCCTGAGAGATGCAGAGATGGGCTTGGTCCTTGCCACTCTACAGATTTGGAGAGGACACTGCAATATGACTGAAAGAGGAAGGTAGCCTGGAGTGTTTGGGAGTTGCAAGTCATCCATTGGCAGCATGAAGCTTGCTCTGTATTCCTTCTGTAGTTAGCATTGGTCCCATACTGCTGCGGTCTTGGACAGAGGCATTGACATTGTGTTGTTCTCCAGGGCGAACAATGATCCTGGTCCCTTAAAGCCTTGTATGGAAAATCCCATTGCTTTTCTGATGGGGTAGAAGTATTGACTTGCAGTCCAGTGAGGGCGGTTAGCTTTATTTCCCCTGCCATTTTGGGTGGGTTTAGCCTTTCCCAACCCCGTTTGTAATCAGCTGTTTGACATTATGTGGTGCTGTTCTGCACACCAGAGGTAGCTGTATTGTAGGAATAGGCTTGCCCAGTAAGCACGTTGCGGGATCCTTGAGGGTTTATTCTTTCCTTTGGTTGTAGTCGGACCTGAGTCGCCTCTCTGAGATCGACAAGTCCTTAGCTGTGTTCTGCATGGCCACTTACGGTGAGGGTGATCCCACAGACAATGCCCAAGACTTCTACGACTGGCTGCAGGAGGCTGATGCTGACTTGTCAGGTCTCCGATTTGCAGTAAGTGGCTCAATTCCAGTTTATGCTGCATTTGGGTAGGAAAGTCAGAAGGCCTCCACTGTGCCTGCACATGACTTGGGTAAAGGCACAACATGATGTCTATGCCTTGTATGCCTGTGTTGGATGTGGTCCCTATTGTCTTCCTCTTCAAGCTTCGTGGACAGTTGCAAACATATATCTGGGGGCTTTAAATGCAGATATCAGAGTACTCTCTCCACTCCCTAAATCACAAGGGTTCGCTGGTAATGTCTTGCCACAAATAGCCCAGCAGGCATTGAATACAAGGTCTGTAAATGAGTTACAGGCTGCTGCTGCTGTTCAGAAGCTAACTGAGCAGCCCTGGGCCAGATCTTCTCCTGCAAATTAAATCACTTGGAGGAGTGTGTAGCTCTTTTCCTGTGCTGAGCTGAATAATTGGCTAAGATACAGCCACCTCACCTAAATCCTGGCCAAATTCCTTAGTAAGCATAATAATTGCAAATGAGGAGAAAATCCACTGCTGGAGATGTATAAAGCAGTGAGCAAACATTTGCTGAGCTGTTCGTGGGAGGCAAGGGACAGCAATTGATCTCCAGGCAGTCCAGGCTCTTACTGGTCCCTCGAGGAGATGGCGCAGGCAGCTCTTTCCTGTGCATCCTCTTGACGTGCCTGAGGCCTGGCTCAGGGGAGGTGCTGGTGCCTACTCACCAGACACTCTCCAGTGGTAGATTCTTACTCCACAAATAGCTGATGGGGAGCTGGGAGAGGTCTTGCTGTCTGTCTTCAACATCCTTTCCTGGGTGATACTGGCCAGAGGATGCCAACTGGATGGGAAAAGTCCAGACCCTGCTTTTCCACACTCATGAGTGTTCTCTTCCAGGTCTTTGGGCTGGGGAACAAGACTTATGAGCACTTCAATGCCATGGGAAAGTATGTGGACAAGAGACTGGAGGAGCTTGGAGCCCAACGCATCTTTGAACTTGGGTTGGGAGATGACGATGGCAAGTGAGTAGCTTGGCTTGAAGGGCTGGTCAGAGCTGGCTAAAGCATCATGGAAGAGACCTTGGCAGGGATTTGACTCTGCTACTAAGACAGAAATAAACTCGATAGGGCTAGTTGTGGGAGCTGACATGTCTGAGTGTGTGTCTGTCTGCTCCCTTCCCCACAATCAGATCCCTGTACATGTAGAGTATCCTGGGGGATCCTGTGTCTGGGAAATCCCACATCAGCTTTAAATGACCATAATAACATACTTGAGGAGGCTTTTGGCCTCCTCTGCCTTTGCCCTGCTGCAGCTCCATTGCTAACCCAGGTTGTATGGATAAACTCACTCATCCCTGTGGAGGAGGCAAACTCCGTCTCCTTATGAACTGTTTGTTTTATGGTGGAAGGCAGCAATTTTCCAACTCGGACAATGAGTTTTCTTTTTTTTTTTTTTTGACCTCTCTATGCTTACCTGAGCACCCTGTCGGTAGCAGCTTAACCTGGGAAATTACATCAACCTGTGGCTTTACCTCTAAGGGCTCCAAGATCTGATGAGAGGGATGTGCTGTGTGTGGGAGGCTCTGAGCCCAGAAAAATAAGCATTGGTGGAATCTGCCTTTTGGGAAGGTGACCTAATGCCAGGAGTAGGCAAGCAGGAGCTGAATTGGTTAAAGAGCGAGTCTGAATAACAAAGCCTTCCTTGGCAGACCTGGTGAAGGGAGGGGTGGCTGGTATAGCAAGAGTTCCCTCCCACCCACTTAGTGATCTGAAGATGCTCTTCTGGTGATCTGTGGGCATGTAGACATACCAAAACTGCCTGGATGCAAGGGCAAATGCCTTTTCCCATGGTGAAGGACGAAGTCCATAGGGATCTCAGATGGCTTCTCTGGGAATACCCCTTTGCTCCCCCTTGGGCAGGGTTATTGAATCTCTTTTTTTGCCCGGGCTAGCTTGGAAGAAGACTTCATCACCTGGAGAGAGCAGTTCTGGCCAGCGGTGTGTGAGCACTTTGGGGTGGAGGCTACAGGAGAAGAATCCAGGTGGGTATGGGAGCAGGTTCTTCTGGGTGCCAGAGAGATTGGCCACCTCTGACTGGTGGCTGTGCCATGAACCCTGAGCTGCTGTCCCCTTTCCTGTATGCTGCCTCCCCTTCCAGGCTTGAGAGGGTACATGTGAAGTAGATCAGTGAGCAGGGCTGTTTGGACTGAGCCTGTCCTGGTGTGAGTTTGAACCCAACTCTGGATTTCTGTTCTGAATGGGGATGTGATGGGTTTGGTTCTTTTGTGGCTTTGCTGGGTTGTGATGCTCCCAGTGAGGCTGATGTTTCCTCTTGGCTTGGGCTTTCTGCATAGTCTGCCTGAACCCTAATTTCTCGAGAGGGGCAAAGGGGTGGAAGTTGCATTTCTTTTTGGACTAGAGCAAATCCAGCAAAGCAGATGATGGTTCCAGCTGTACCTTGTGATTTCCAGTTCGACTTTTTTCTCTTTTCTCATCCGCCAATATGAGCTGGTGGTGCACACAGATGTGAACATGAACAAAGTCTACACCGGTGAGATGGGTCGTCTCAAGAGCTACGAGAACCAGAAGCCGTAAGTACCAAACCACCCTGGGCAGGGTGTATGTGGGCCAGGCTTCAGCCGATGGAGTCCTTGATGTTTCTAACAACACGTGCTATGTGGGCAGTGTCGTTTCTGCGATGCAGCCATGTGGCAGATGTCTGCCCAAGAGAAATGGGCTCAGATCTTCACTGGGACTCTCAGGGATTTCCCAGTTAATAAATCATTAGTGTGTGAGGAGGTGGCTGTGTTCACATGTGCTGTTTGGCTGGTACGTTTGCAGCATCTGTCTTGAGGTCACTCAGAGCCTTTCCTCGCCCAGCATAGCTAATGTGTGGTGGTTGCTTGCAGTTTTGCTTTGGGGAGATTAGCTGTATAAATTATTTCCAAACTGAAATATCTCTGAGATGTGACATTTCCTCCAATCTACTTTTGCATCACTTGTTCTTAATGGGACAGAAGCTGTTGATTGCTGGGCTGTGCTTAGAAGGGGAATGATCACTTTTCTCTGCCAGTGTGGGTAGCAGCAGGATCATAATTTGGTTTGTGCTGTGGTATGCTTTGAAACATGAGCCAGGACAGCCCCGTGCTCAAATCACAGGAGCCAGCTCTGGAGGAAGAGGGAACATGCTTGGATACAGAAAGCACTGTGAGCCTGCAGGAGAGTAGTCCAAAGGATCCTTGTCTTTCCTTCCAGACCGTTTGATGCCAAGAACCCCTTCCTGGCCCAGGTTACAGAGAACCGCAAGCTGAATGAGGGAGGAGAACGACACCTTATGCATCTGGAGCTGGATATCTCCAATTCCAAAATCAGGTAGCTTCCCATGGGAGACTGCTCCTCTATTTTGGCAGGAGCAGTCTGCATCAGGAGCAAAGAACAAAGATGTGGCACTGGCCTCATCCAGCACTTCAGAAGGGGACCTTGTTCTCATAATTACTTAACACTGCCCCTCTGGGCTTCTGTACCACGTATCAGGTACCCCATGTCAGGACTTTGTCCCAGCTCTTGCGCTGTGCCTGGCCACACCAGCTGGGTGCTCTGGGTCCCTCCAGAGCTGGCTGCACATACCTGTCCTACCTGAGCAGTCCCAGCTGCAAGAGTTCTCTAGGAGTCATTCAAAAAATGAGGGGGCAGATGAGCTATGAGAGAGGGAAGAGCTGGGGATGGCTCATGCCTGGCTTTGCCTGGCTTAGGTGTACAAGCATAGGGGGAATAAAGCCCTGTTCTTAAAAACCCTCTTGCTGGCTTAAATTCCTCTGTGTGTGCTTGTGAGAAAGCCATGAATCCAGGTGGCTTAACATAACAAAATACTGCAGAGGTTTTGAGCAGCTTTGCTCCTTGCCTGTCAGGGAGTTAGCCTGTCCTTGCTGGAAGCCTGGCCTCGTTGAAGTCTCTGGCAAAACTGCTGTTATCTTGGAGGTCCCTTGTAAAAAAAGTGGTTCTTAAAACCATTATTCCACAGTGGAATAGTGGAATTACTGCCAGCTCTTCGGGATCCCTGATTGTGCAGGCACTGTGTAGCAGCTCAGATCTCGATGTTGTCCTGCTGCCCCTTGCATCAGCCCGCTTGTCTTCTAGCTGAGCAGCTCAGGCTTGGGGTGGACGAGAAGCGGTGCTGGAGCTCTCCTCCTGCTCTCATGCCAGGTACGAGTCTGGGGACCATGTGGCGGTGTACCCAGCCAACGACTCTTCTCTGGTGAATCAGATTGGTGAGATCCTGGGCACGGATCTGGACATGATCATGTCCCTGAACAATTTGGACGGTGAGTATGGATCACCCCTGAGTGTCAGCAGTTTGCCTTCAGCTATGGCCTCTGTCCTTCCCACCAGAGCAGGAGCCCGATCACCTTCAGGTCCCCTAGGGCACCTCCAGGCAAATAGAGACGTCCTGTGGCCGCTCCGAATGCCGTGCCATTTTTGCAGTGGCACGGAGCCCACTTGCTGAGAGCCAGCTGAAGTGGGTCAGTTGTGAAATATAGTTAGTGTGCTCATTCAACAACAAATTATGTAACAGCACACTCCTAATTCCAGAGCATCAGCCCACCAGAGCATCCCTCTGCCGCAGGATCCCCAGAGCTCAACAGGGGCCTTAGTGTCTGAGATGCTGTTATTCAGTCCTTGGAGGAGGCGCAGGCTCGGCGATTGAACTGCCAGGAGGGAGCACTTGTGCCGATACAAAGAGCTCTTGTTGGGCACTGTTCCCAGCAGAGCTGCCCTCTGGCAGGAGGGAGATGGCAGCTCCTGAAGCAACGCAGCCTGACCTGAGGCATCGGATGTGCTGACCCAGAAGCCTAAGAGAGCGCCTGGCTTTAATGCACTGCCGGAGCCTGCGGCCCCCTGTGCAGTGTCCCATGTTGCCCGGCCTCACACTGTCATTCCTGTCCCTTACGGACCTCTTAATTTGCTGAACTGAATGGCTTCAGCCTTGACTGCTGGCACTTACCTTTCCCAAGGGGGCTCTGAGCACAACTGTCCATGGTTGAAGGAGACTAAAGACACTTTTGAGGCCAGATCTGAAGGAGGTGTAAGTGCATGAGGCCAAATTAGCTGTGGAGAAAGCCCTCCTGCTTGGTCTGGGAGTTTGCTGCATGCCTCTGTGCATGGATATCTCAGGGCAGAGAGCCCCATTGGGGAGCATGGGGTTTGTTTGGGTTTTTTTGCTGATGAACTGTCAGGCAGCATCTGTGAAACACAAAATGGGCTACTGGGAGATGTAGCTGCCTGGAGAGGGAGCTGCCCTGTGCTGGAGCTGCTTCAGTGTGGGATTGGGGCTTTGGCCAACAGGCTGATTCAGCCCTAGGGCTGTTCTCTGCCCCCTGAAGCCTGTTCCCCTGCTCTGTCTCCAGCTCTCATACACTGCATGTAGCTGCTGGCATGAAATCTCTAATGTAACAGCATGCGGTTGCTGATTTTTAATTTCTTTTCCTCTCTCTCTTCTCCAGAGGAATCCAATAAGAAACATCCCTTCCCCTGCCCCACGTCCTACCGTACAGCCCTGACGTACTACCTGGACATCACCAACCCGCCCCGCACCAATGTCCTCTACGAGCTGGCCCAGTACGCCACGGACACCGGCGAGCAGGAGCGCCTCCGCAAAATGGCATCATCTGCTGCCGAGGGGAAGGTGGGAGCTGTGGCCTTCCCAGCAAAGCTGCTGGGCTGAACTGGGTGTTGGGGGATCCCCAAAAGGGATCCAGGACTGTTGGGCACCGCTTGCAGAGAGCTGAGGGGAGTGTTTGCCAGCCGTGAAAACCTCCTTACCCGCAGGCTCTCTACCTCAGCTGGGTGGTGGAGGCCCGGAGGAACATCCTGGCCATCCTGCAGGACATGCCCTCGCTGCGCCCCCCCATCGACCACTTGTGTGAGCTGCTGCCCCGCCTGCAGGCCCGCTACTACTCCATTGCCTCCTCCTCCAAGGTGAGCGTGCTTCCAGCAGGGACTGAGGCTGCTGAGAGACCATTTCAGCTGCATCTCCACAGTGCCATGGTCCCCCTCTCAGCTGGGGACCTGACAAGGGGAACTTGCCCTGGTGACACTTTCTGTGAGGGGGGCAGCTTTAGTTATCTCTATGCACGAGAAGAGGGGGTTATCGCAACTTCCACGGGGTCTGCAGAGGGTCGCACGCTGCAGCCAGCTGCGCCCTGGTACCACCGCCCTCCCTGCAGCCCTGCTCCTCTTCGCCCGTAGACTTTGCTTTCAGAGCTTGGAAGCAAGGTGGCATTTTAGGGGTTGGTCAAAATTCACTCTTTACTTTGTGCCTGAAGCCCTGAGGTTGTTGGCAATACCGAGGGAAGCTCAGTGGTCCTGTGACGAGTCGGGCGCAAGACAGAAGCCCCGTGCGGGGTATGCTAGGAGGTTTGATCTGCCAGGGGAGGAATAGCCATCCCAATGTTAACATTAGGTTAAACTTCTCCCAATCCCTGAGCACAAGGGACTGAGCTGTGGGGTTGCTGCAGCTCCCTGTCTGCCTGGCACTGACATCCCTTCCCTGCAGGTTCACCCCAACGCCATCCACATCTGTGCCGTGACGGTGGAGTATGAGACCAAGACGGGACGCCTGAACAAAGGGGTGGCCACCAACTGGCTCAAGAACAAGGTGCCCGACGAGAATGGGAGCAACTCCCTGGTGCCCATGTACATCAGGAAGTCGCAGTTTCGCCTGCCCTTCAAACCCAGCACGCCTGTCATCATGATCGGACCGGGAACTGGCATAGCCCCCTTCATCGGCTTCATTCAGGAGCGGAACTGGCTGAAGCAGCAAGGTGAGTGTCCAGAAACTTCCCTGGGGACTGGAGCTGCTGCAGGATGGTGCTCTGCAGGGCCAGTTGGTGCTTCCAAGGTGCAGCTTGTGCTGCTCACATTGCTGGCGGGTCTAGCAAAAAGCAGAGGCAGTGGAGCAGGGTGAACAGCAGCTAAGTGTTTTTTCCCAGCACGAGGATGCTTTGTCCTTCTCTTGGCCACAGACGATGTTTGGGGAGGCAGATAGACCTGAGGCAGTTCTCTGACCTCTGCCACCACGTCTCCGAATAACCACAGTCAAGTCACTTAAACTCATTTCTAAAGCATGTTGGTACTTCTGGGAGTCAGTCTGGAGCTTCCCCTTGTACACAGAAGCAGCCGTGCAGCTCTGCCTCCCCCCGGTTGGCAGGACGAGGGGAGGTGGGGAGGACAGGGGTGGGGGCTGCAGGGGGGCCAGCTGATGGGTGCTATGTGACTCTGCAGGCAAAGAGGTGGGTGAGACGGTGCTTTACTACGGCTGGCGCCCAG